CGGGGACATCGCCGCCTTCGAGGCCAACCTGGAGCGCGCAGACACGGCCTACACATCCGAGTACATCGGGCTTCACACCGACAACACCTATTGGACTCAGCCGGCCGGGTAGGAGTCTATGCTTTTTACCCCTTCCTCTCAGTTTGCCAACTATTGCAAGCGGGGGGGAGGTGGAAACTGTTCTTTGTAACTTGATTGAGAGTTTATTCCGTGATAAAATATGCCAATTGTGAGTTGAGCACCGCGTCCCGTTCCTGGTGTATATGTAACGTAAATGTGGTAGATCAAATGGCCATAGAGTGATTATAGCATTTAATTCTTCGAAGGGAGCGGAGAGTAATGTCTGCTCTGAAAAAGAGAATGGATTCGGTCGTCATAATAATCGGGGCGGCGGTTCAGCAACAGCAATCACAAATGAAGAGAGTCATATCCAGCGAAAGACATCGATCACGGGTGACGGAGACGCTCATTCAATGACCGCTCGAGTGGCCTTTTAGAACCAAATGCAGGCGGAAAGTCCGGAAAGCCGCGACACGTCCGATGAGGTAGAGGCGGTTCTCCCACAATAACTGAATATGGGGGACGAGACCGTGAGAAGAGAAGGCAAATGTCTCTTGGAGGAACTCGGTCGATGAAAAAGAATGTCTGGATTATTAGAAAGGTTTGAAGAGAGAGAGAGAGACGGATCTGTAGGCGTAAAATGAATTGAAGGCTAAAGATGAATCTATGAACTAAACGAGGGTCTCCTTTCCCCCAGCCTCCAGATACTCCACTGCCAGCACCGCGATGGGACCGGCGGAGAGAACATCCTGGTAGACGGACTGGCTCTGGCGAATGACATGAGCGAGGAGCATCCGGAAGCTTATCATATCCTCTCCACCGTCCCGCTTCCAGCTGAGTATCGGGAGGACGAGGGTGGGAGGAAGAAAAATCACTTTGCCAATCTGGACTTCACCTTCAAGCACGATCCGGTCACGGGGCACCTCATGCAGATCCGGTCAGTTTGTGCACAAAAAAGGATTGCATCTACATTTTAATGGAATTAATTTAATAATTTAAATGGAAGAATATTTGTGGAAATGAGTTCCATCATAGGATCTGGGCCTTTCTGATATACAGAATGACCCAAAAAAGTCCCCCATTTTGAATATCCATGAAAATTATAGTTATGGAGACGTTCAAATACTTCTTTCCCTGCAATGTAAAATAATACATAGAATTTTATTTCTCAAAACAACATGAACATGTGTAACATATTGCACACTCAATTTCAGTATATTCTCGCATTTTTGATCCAGGCACCCAGGCCCTGGATCGCTACTGCGACCCGGACATTGAAGTAACCAATTCCTTTGTCTAACATTTCTCGCGGAATAAATTCGCCTGATCTCTCTCCGAATGTTGTCGAGCAATGCTCCAAGGGTTTCATGGCTATTGGCATACACTCTTCCCTTAAGTTATCCCAAATTAAAGTAATCTGGAGGGGGCAGAGAACTTTCTTTTTGCCGCCATATTCCCCCGATCTGTCCCCTCCAGATTACTTTCTTTGGAGATACCTCCAATTGATCAAACATTTGTGATTTATCATGCTCTCTCATTATCTGTGATCCGGTCCTTCTAAGGTTCAATGTTCGACTAGGAACATGAAAAATGAATTTTCGTTCATCATGAAGTCTCGTCACCAGGTCGACAATTCATATGAAATCCAGGAGACATTTTGTCGAAGCGTGTCCACCCACTGCCTAATCTCAGAAAGGTAACTCCTCCCCTGAATTATTTCGTCTAAGAATCATGTAATATCTTCTTAGAGATAGACGCAGCCATTACATCTTCACTTGACGAGTTCCTTGCCCTACCTCGTAATGCTGTAAATAAAAATGTCTTTCCTTCAAGTGGGAGAAGCAACCATGTCTTTCCAAATGCCTGCCTCGCAATCGTTCGATCGGAGATGGCAGGGGACGAAGAAAGGAGCCGATGAAAAAGACTGCGCGAAAAAGGGATAGATAGCTCGCCTATGCAGTTTCGAACCACGTGTAACCTGCAGGATATGCTGCATCCGGCCGAAAT